AGTTCTTGTAAATCTAAAAAAGGAAACCTTTATGTTTTTGTTGAATTTGTTTTGAACAGATCTAATTTTAAAATTCTATATTGAGTTTTGAGTCCTCTAAACTCTCTTAGGTTAATGATACTGAAGCCCTTTCTATCTGATGTCTGAAATAGAAAGTCATTTGATACACTGATTATGTATGTTAACAAAGATGTTACCCCCTGAATAAAACCCCCAAAAATTTAAGAGACGCATCTGCATTGTATACATATCCATGTCAGGGGCCCTTGTACCCCATCGGGACATTTTAAAAGTTCTCACATTTATTCGTGTATGTTTAGAATGTAAAAAAGAAAGTATTAGTATATATATGATTTATATTAATCATGTCCATATTTCTGTTATTATATAACTTTAAATTAGAATGACCTTGGGTTTTTAAAACTAAAACCTAGGCATATATTGGATCTCTGCAGGAAGAGATCAGTTTCCAAACACATTAATTACAACGTAAATATAATTGATCAAAAAAAATCAATCTTCAAAAGCTAGTCAAGTTATAAAACCTGTGACTTTTCCTGTAAATTTAAGAAAATTTAGACATAATATATAATATTAAAATTTTTATTATATTTTTATTAATGTATCCTCCCCAAATAATTTATTCCATAAACTTCCAAATGTCTAACTAATTATAGTAGAAACTTATTATAATTAATTTTATACTTAAGATCTGTCGACAAACGGAGTTTTAGTTTTATGTTCAAGCAATAAAAAAATGGTTAAACAGTGTCCTTATTCGTCTTATTTTTTTTGAAACTTATTTATGTTTAGACCAGTTTATACAGATTATGCATTCTATTGTGTTTTGTTTTAAGTGTGTACTACTAAGTCCAACTTTTTATTCGGTTTAGAGCAGGGCTGTAGAGACAGCTAAACAGATTGCTGTTTAGTATATTAAGACGAACGAAGACACGCACGGTCTTAGGGTTTATTTAAATATTATTAGCAAATAACACATACCGTTCCAAACCGATCCGTGAAGATTTTTGAAAAAGTTTTAAGAAACTCAGCCTGCAATATAAGTTTGAGGTAGTCAGGCCTGATCAAAATATATAAATTTGCATAATTCGAAGTCTAAGAAAAATTGAAATTCTCAACGTGTCTCATCGGAAAGAAACTGTACCCAAATTGCACGACTTGGCTCTAATTTATTTTTCAACTTGTTAGCTTTTGGATATTGGATGGGCCGTATAGACCTATTATTTAAACAAGATGGGCTATATTAATTGTATAGGTAGATAGAACAATCTTATTTTTCTTAATTATCGTTAATAAAATTTAAATCTTTAATTTTTTTTATAGCCCTTCGTCAAAAAGAGTTTTCCTGGCCCTATCTGATCCCTAAGGCACTAAATCGAACCAAAGCCATTCTAATTCCTAACCTTTATAATAAATTTAATCGCTCGAAACGGGTTTTAAGATAATTTTAATTTCTTAAATGAAGCATAATTTAAAATACTTTAAATAAAATAAATGGTACATGCAGACTTATAAATGGTTATATTAGGTACTAAGGCTGTTTCCGGATTAGACTGATTTTTAATACTTTATTAGCCTAGGCCAAGCAGCTTTCAACTATAATTTTTTTTTCTTTTTTTCTCTTTTACTCTTTAGGCTGTTTAGTCGCTATATAGCCGGCTAAAGCTGTTTACTAATAAGTCGTTAATGTTATTTCTTCATATTTTATAAATATATTTTAGAAATTCAATTTTTTTATATTTTTTTTTATATTTAAGATTAGATTATTATTATAGAGCAATAAAAAAAAAATAATAATAGATTCTGATTAATCATAACAAAACTTATACAAACTGGAATGAACATCAAAAAAGGCACCCGATATGAATTCCTAAAGCAGAAGGAATAGAAAAATTTTTTTGTTTAAATGACCAAAATTTTAAACTAAGAAACGGAATGGAATGAATTGCATGAGAGGCCTACATTGAATGAATTGTATCATTAGATAAGTAAGCTATTTTTATTTTTATTTTTAAATTTTAACCTAAATAAATGATAAGCCTATTATTGGGTTATTTTTTTTTCAATAAACAATTAGAACTTAATTTTGTTTTCGTTTATCTTTCTTTGATTCTCTGGTGCCTGATAAAGCCTTCTCGAGTGTAAAGAATGAGACCTCACAGAATTTGGGGATATCCCAATGATACAAGCTGCTGAATAGCAATTTATATAATTCTTTAAATGCAATATGATTTGTTTATTTTTATACATATAATATTAATAGGATTTTAAAAATCATGGCTTTCTGCTACTTTAGCCGCTAATAATCCCTTTATGAATCTCATTTCATGATGTAATATTTCAATATTAAGGTTTAATGTGGATGCATTGGAGCCATTTTATCAATTTAGGTCTGGGGGATGGCAATGTATTAAAACAAGATACAAGGTTAAAATAATATTCGGTAAATCTTTCTAAAAACATTCAACAAAAATAATTAATTATTTCATAATAATTTCCTTTTAAAGAACTCCAATTAGAGTCCTTCTAACTATCAAACTTTAATTTAGTATTAACCAAAAAATCGTGAAGATTTTTAGGCGTTTTAAGAACCCTTGAGTATTTTTCGGTTCAACCGTAATCTTTATCAAGTCAAATTATATATACTCTCTTTTAATTTTTAAGATATTAATTGTAGAGTCAACACAACTTTTAACATTTAATGGATCAATTGTTATCAATATTTCAGGAATTAAAATGGCAAATATAATATAATACATATTTAAGCATTGAGATAAACGATCATTGGCTTCGACTAGATATATTTAGTGGAAACTTCCGGGTTAAGAGTTCTATTAAAATAATGAAATAATATTTTATCAATAGTCTCAAAAATCAGATAAATGATGTGAGATATGTTTAAATGACCAGTCCACCTTTTGTCTAATAATAAATTACAGAAATATTGCTATAACAATTATTAACAACTTGATGTACTTATGATTCAAACAATGTATATAAGGCCCCTTTTTATTAATTTTTTTTAAAGCAAAGTTTGTACTCCACTATTTTGACCAGTCATGAAAATTTCACCATGATACGCCTGACTTATTATATTAGATGTATTATTTTTATAAATCATTAATAATGCTTTTAGCTGAAAATACTTTCTAAATCTAATAAATTCTCTTGGAGTTTTCCACAAAAAAATATGCCATAATTAAAGTCAAGTGTTCACCACATGCCGCATCTAAAATAGGTGTCATCTACCTTTAGTTGTGATATGTTGAGAGAGATTCCAACCTCATTTCCATAATATATATGATATGACTTTTAAATATGAGGTGATTTTCATTGAGAATTTTTTGGTATTGATTTTATAATTTTTCATCTTTTTGGCAGTTGGAATGAAAACATAAAAGTCCTGAAGAATAAATTATATTTTCACCTGTAGTATCAGTTATTGTAGTGAGATTGTCACTGGAGCTTTTGTATGCCGCAAAATTGTATCAAATCAAATATTGATATCAAATAATATCGATTACTCTCAATTTGATGATTCAACAAAATTGTCGATATTTTTGTATCCTTCTTTAAATTACAATTTTTATTAAGCCACATTGAATTTAAATGACTATTAGAGGTTACATGTTAAATTGAATAATTAACATTTTTTTCAAAATTTGTGGGCGGGAATATTTTTTAAGGGCATTTCTGGGAGACAAAAAAATTTGGAGAATAAGCTTAGGGACCGGAATTTTCTTTTTTGGTGCGAGGGGGGGGGCATGGCTCCTCCTTAGCTATGGCCCTGTATTTTAATTTTTATTAGATGCTGTTATAATTTACGATATTATGTTCTTTTTGTTTAGCGCCTGGGAAGGGGGAGGGGGTTATAAAATCTATTGAGAGGAATATCAGAATTTGGGTTAAAACTTTTAGGAACAGGGCAGATTATAATAGTCTTAGAGCTCTTATATCATCTTCATTTTGTTGTTAGGCATAAGTCATCTACTAAGACCATTTAAGAAGAGGCGGGCTATATCATCACTGGGATTATGCATAATTCTTTTGTTTATAGAATTGCACTCTAGAAAAAATCGTAAATAATACTTTGGAATTTTACTTTATTTGTTATTAGCCTTGTAGTCCCGGGGGTAGTGAGCAAACTCCAATGATTAGTGATTATTCAAGATAGGTTTGCATATTCCGTACCAAGTTTAATCTATATAAATTCTATAAAATTCAAAAGAGTATTTTTGCCTCTCATGGCAAAAAAAATTAAAAAAATTTTGGAGAAAAAGTGCGAAAATATTGTTCCCGACTTTCTAATTAACAGTATGTATTATTAATAAAAAAAAATTAATCTCATATAGCCTCGTTCCCCTATTCAAGTTACAATCACGTGATAAGGATAAGCACCCTCAATTAAGAGATTTAATTGAATAATGTTAATTATTAATTATAAATTAAATTTCAATTTAATAAATAATGAATGAGAAAAGTTAAAAAAAAATCGATAAATATTTATTTTCTCGCTCTTTAGTAATAATAAAATATAAAAAACTTAAGATGCAAATATAAATGTAATTTTAGATTTGAAAGTTAAAAAAAATAAATTTGAAAAGAAAAAAAAACACAAAAAAAAAAATTAGAGAAAAGAATAGAAGAAAGTAACTTTAGAATACAGATTTATATCTAATAATATTAATTTTAAATAAATACAATATAATTTATTTATACCCATCTTTCAAACCGCAATCAATCTAGATTTTTCAATATTACAAAATTTAAGTAAACACTTATATTAAAATTTTATTAATTTTAAATATTAAAAAAAAAAATAGATATGAAAAAAAAAAGATTAAATTATTGTTATATAATAATAATCATTATCTATCTAGCGAAAATTTCCCAATACCCAACCTTTAGGGAAAATACAAAATAGAAACATTTTAAAATAAATATAAAATTATCTTTCAATTTATTAAATATATTTTATGATAATCCTTTTATTTTATATTATTTTCAAATCAATATAATCCTTTCTTATTCGAAAATTTAATTTTTTAAAAATAATAAAAACTTATTAAAATATAAAACAAATTTATATGATACTTTGGACATTTTTGTAAACAATTCTCTCTCGGGGGAAAATAAAGGTAAAAAATGATATATACATTATATACAATACCTCATATTCATATGCACATTTTATAATCCTAATAAAAGTGTGTCGTCCCTCTTTTTTTAGCCATTTGTTTGATGAGCCCGAAAAATATTTTTCTTATTTATAATAATGTTCTCCGAGAAATTCTATCCAATAATGATATTCCCGTTCTGGTTTTCAGATTTTTATATTTGATTAGTGTTGTTAAAAGGCTCGATTTCTAAAAAACGGCTAACCCGATATTTTAACCAAAAATATTACGCAAACCTGTGGATTTTGCCCATAGAGAGCAGAATAGTTTAGACATCTATAAACTGAATCTCGAAGCTTACGTAATTTTTTTTGGCTAAAATATTGAATCCGTTTTATAAAATCGAGTCGTTTAACAACACTATATTTGACCCGTTTCTGAGGGCTTTAGTTTTGATCTAAAAACTTTAATCATAAACCCTCTCTATAATGAATTGCAAATTTATTTTTTTTAGAAAATAAATATACATTTTATACAAAAAATATGATAAATAAGCTGTACGGGTGTGCCCTGATTAGGTTTATTTTTGATACTTAAACTAGGGCACCCTATTTTGCTTTGTTTTAATTATTTGGTATCATTGTTTATTTTTAGTATTATTTTTTAATAATTTTGGTTTTGTTTTAAAAAAATAAATTGTTTTGATCTTTTAGGCTTAGTTGAAGCTAAATAGCTGGTTAAACAACCGCTGTTTACTAATAAGTCAAGGACACACGCTACATACTTTTGTTAAAACCTGTTCTGACTCGGGTACTACAAAATTTTATAAGGGGGCTTCCAATTCCTAAAGGTAGTTTTAAATGACAATTAAAATTAGCCTAGATTAACAACTCGTTTATTAAAAGTAGGTTCAGCTGTAATGCTGAATAGACGCAATGGCCCAATTTCAATGAATGTATACTTTTCATTTTACTTAATGAATTCATGAGTCTAAGTTAGTATTAAATAATTAGAGTGGTTTTAGATCCGGTTTTAAAATTTGAATAGGATCTATGGGTTTCTCTTATTACGTTTCTCGCTTATAGTTTTGGGTTTGCCCGAGTAATATTAGAATAATCGATATACTTACTCTTTGAATAAAATAAAGCTTAAATGCAAATATTTAGTTCCTTAGGGAATTAATTTTATACGTATTTAAAAAAACAAATTCTTTTTTTAAAAATAATGATTCATTACCCAATAGGCTATGTTATAATGAGACAATCTACCTTTCTAGCTTCAATCATTAAATTTTTATTTTTAACAAAAAATTATGCTTAATTTTATATATTTTTTTTTAATGGACAGGCGAGATAGTTACAGTTACAAGTTACATCCCTTAAAACCAAACTAATCACTTTTAAAAAATTAACTTGTAATTAGTTACTTTGAAAGTTATTTTATATAACTCCATATAATCATCATATTATACAAAATATTTTGCTTTTAAAAAATTGTAGTAAAGGAATTTAAATGGAATATAAAATGAAAAAATAATTAATTGAAAAAAAATATACCACATTGTATAATATTTATTTGAGCTAAATAAAATATCACAATATAGTATAATATTTATTTGAGCTATATAAAATATCACAATATAGTATAATATTTATTTGAGCTAAATAAAATATCACAATATAATATTTATTGTATACCTAAAAAATATAAGTATTCATATAATATTTTTCAAAAAAATTTGGGCGGTAAATTTTTCTTTGACTTTATTAACAATAAATTTGAACTTGAAGTCTAAAAGGCCGGGGTTTTCCCCCTAAATAAGCTTCCCTAGACAAAAAGTACAAGAGCGGATGATGTAAATGAAGGTATTTCAAAATTTGATAAACAGTAATGGGAAATCATCATATATAAAAAATGATAAATGATTATAAATAATATTAATATATAACATAATTTTAATTTAGAAAAAAAAATATTTTTATAAAGTTTTTGTTTGATTTAATGAAACTGATTGAAAAAAAATTAACACTACATATTTTTCATATGGAAAACAATAAATAAACCTTTTTTCAGGTCAAGATTAGCCTTGCAAAAAAAAAATCCAATTTTGAAGCCTTTCACTTTGACCTCTTTTTATGCAGGGATGTGGACCCGAATTAGCGTTCAGAAATTTAAAATTGTTTTAGACATTTTGAGACCGCAGACCAAAATGAGACCCATTTATGGGCAACCCATCGAACCGCGGTAATATAGACTCGGGGCGGGTTCGAACTTCTTTTAGAAAATCTGTTTCTGTATTATATATATATTGTATAAACTATAACTCATATTATTTAATAAAGGATGGACATTACAAATATTAAAAATAAATGTCAAAGAACATTCATTCACGTGTAAACTAAAATTAACAAATATCATATTTCAATTAATTTCGAATTTAAAAAAAATAAATATATAAACACTAGTTATTAAAATTAAATAACATGATATATTTAAAAATAAGTAATAAATTAACAAGTTTCATTTAAATTAAATATAATAAGGGTTTTAATATTTTAATATAATTATATTCAAAATAAGTAATAGGCTATTAATGGAAAAATAATATTTTTCCCGTTAGATGGCGTATTTTATAAATTGTATATATTTTTTTATAATTTTTTTTGGACGAGGTTAGAGTTAATTTGTATAAAAAACACCCCAAACTAAAACTACCAATATCATTACCCATTGTAAGAAGGTAAAATGATTGTCTTATTTGGTTTCAGAAGCCCTAAAATAAATATGATATAAATTTTATATATTAAAATGAAGAACTTATTATAATATATTTTATTTTTTAATTTAATAATTGGCAAATCAGCTAATTATAATGACCCATTTATATTTTGTGGAGTAATATCGAACGTCTAATGTTTTTAAATTTTAAGGATCAATATTATATTCTTATTTTTTTTATCTCTAAATATTTTATAAAATATATTAAAATTAACATGTGTGTAAAATTTTATTAAAGTAAAATGTAAAAACATGTAACAATTTAAAGGATGGCAAATATAAAAACTATTATATTAAAATTATAAAAAAAACACATAAGAAGGAGTGAAAAAAGCAACAAGAGGCCCTCATTGAGATCCGAGGAAACTAAGATAGTTCCCCTCGGAACACGGTAAGTAATTTGAGTGGATTGTAACATTTTAAAAGAGAATCCATGTTTCTAATTAATTTGAATTACTTTTAAACCTAAAATTTTTAAAAAATGATAGCCTATGTGTGGTTAGGAAAATAGAAATAACTATATTGGGATAAAGTGAAAATTTGAAAGAGGGTACTTTCTAATTTTTGAACTTTTGGTTGTAATGATCGACTCAATATTTTGGTTACAGGAAAACTGGGAGACATAAGCGAAATTCCAAATAAGATGTTTTCCTCTAAACCAAGGAATATTTATGAGCCCATCATGTCTTTTCCCATCATTCCTAATTATTTTTAATATAATTTCGTTAAAAAATATATCTATGACTAGATTTTTTTGATACATAATAATTTATATTACTTTAAATCGTTAAATATATCCACTAGTCAAATTTTAATGAGTTGTAATAAAAGTAATCATAAATTAATTAATAGAGCGCTCTAAATATATATAATAAATAATTTATATACCTGTAATTTGCAGTTTCATTTGCAGTGCCAAAGCTCTTAATTTAAATAAACTTTCTGATTTATTTAAAAAAAAAAAATTGTTTGCAAGGTCTTATATAAATGCCCAATCCTTAAAAAAAATTTATAGTCAATAGTTTTCTTTCTTTAAATTTGAGAATTTCCATATCATTATAATTATATATTTTTTTTATAGAATTTTCATAATTATTGATCACATTTAATTTCTTATATTAATTGAATATAGATTAAAAAAAATTTAAGAGATATTTTTTTGTCATTTTAAAATATTTTAAAATTAATATTATTTGATTTATTGTTTCATCTCATATTTGATAAAGGAACACCAATCATTTAAAAAAAAACTATGATGTATACACAATTTAATTATTAAGGGATTAATTTGGTTTTTTTATTTTCGCATCATAGCGTAATTTATTTTTTCGAAAATATATTTTTTTAAGAAAAAAATTTCAAAAATTTATTTTTTAGTTTTAACAAACTGTTGCAAAAAATTAATTAATGTTCATAAACTATTCCTTTTTCTTTTCTCTATCCAATTTAAAGAATTAAAGTTACAAACTAAGAGTATATAATTTTTAAAATTTTAGCCGTTGCGTGATATATTCTCTTATAAAAATAGAATAATTTTATTTAGAATAAAATTTTTAAAAATTACACTAAACCAATGACGAATCATTCGGAATATCAAATGGTGTAAGGATTTATATCTGAGGTAAGAATAAATTTTATAATTATAAAATAATAAATAATGTTTTTAAAAAAAGTTCTGGGGGAAAAGAATAATCTATATTTTTAACCCTATCACTTCATCCACTACGACCATTTTACGGTTCAACATTATCTATGTGCTTAAATATTTAAGTTTTTTTATTAGATTAATATCGGTTTGATAAAGTGTAGGAATTTCTTTTAATACAAAGAGACCATTATTATAAACCAGATAATTAATTACAACGACTTAAAAGTTGTCAAATCTCAATTTTATTCATGAATTTAAACCCAAAATCCAAGTTTAAACTCAATAGAAAAACAAATAAAACTAATTTGTAAAAAAAATATATTTATTTAATGAATTGTTAAATATTAAAATTAATTTATCAATGAATGCAAAAATATTCGATCAAATAAATTTCAAGTTTTTATAATATTATTTTATCATTATATAATCAAATAATGAAGGCAAAATATTATATAAAAATTGCGCATAAATTTAGGAAAAAAGGAAATTCTACTGCTAAGCTATGACTGGTCAAAAAATTGCCATATTGAAAAATATAATTAAAACTAAGTTATTTAATAGTTTAACTTTAGCCCATACTTGTGTTTCTGTGAAA